TGTTGGTACATATATGGTCAATTTAGTTTTGAGTAGTGTGGTCCGGTGAAATCCATGTGGCTTTGTGTATTCGTTTGTGTGGGAATATTGTGCCGCCGATGACCAGTTTGTTGAAGGCACATAGGTTTGCAAATCTCTCACCGTTTTTGTTCCTTTCTCCCAGTCCATGTCGTCCCATGATGTCTTCATATCCAGTGTTGTCCATTCCAACCTTGGCATTCAAGTCTCCCATAAGAATCGTCAAATCCTTTGGTGAGCATCTGTCGGAGATTGACTGCAGCCTTTCGTAGAATTGATCTTTAACGTCGTCATTGTAGTCGTTAGTAGGTGCATAGCATCGGATGATGTTCATCGTGATCTCCTCTTTCTTTGTTTTGAAGGATGCTTTTATGATCCTGGGTCCATGAGATTCCTATCCTATCAGTGCCTTTTGTGCATGTTTGGACAGGATCAGTGCAACTCCTTGTGTATGTGAAGCACAGCAGTTCCCCTGAAGCTAGTCTCATTTGTCCTACCTGTGTCCAATGCGTTTCACTGATGCCGAGCACCTCGAGGTTGTATCTTTTCATTTCTGCCGCAACTTGAAATAGTCTTCCAGTCTCCCACAATGTACGAACATTCCATGTACCTAAAAAGATGTACGAAATGTATACTTAGGTATGGATGGAAAGTTTGAAGTCAAGACGCTGACAACTGGAAACTCAACTGGACTACATGCAGCCTCCTTTTCAGCTACCTCTAACTTTTCAGTTCTGTAAACAGTCGTTCCGTTTAAGCTTCATAATTCTAACAATCTTTTGGATAATTAAAATGACTTTGTAGAATTCCAATAAAATTATGAGGTCTTTCGACATCATGCTAGAGAGCTAATCGACATTTATGTTTACTGAACTAAACTGTTTTTCACGGAACAGGGCTTGAAAAGTGATGTCACCCTATGGAATAAAACATTCGTGAAATATGAATAACGAACATATCATATTGTGTCTTGAGATACACTTACAAAGTATATCTGTCACAAGTATCCACTCGCACTTATGGCTAAATACTGAATATTTAAATATACATATAATGCTAGAAGGAAATGGGTCAGTGAAGAAATTTGAACGCTTAAAATGAGGGCGAAACCTGATCCTACTGTTTTTACAATTTGCGCGATGAGGCCGGGTTTCTCAATCACTACCACTATATTTTTAGGTCTTGTAGTACTGAGGTTACAGTCTCCATAATCGATGATTCCATTAGAAAAGCCAGAAGTAACGGTTGGCTCCGTAACAGAAGATAGTATATATTGATTAAGTGAAGTTCTGAATTAAATTATTTTCTTTGTAACTCTGTGTAGCTTGCTTAGCCACCGAGAAACCAAATTTTGCTGAACGCCTTAATTTTTGCTTAAACGATTGCTCGGGGAAAGCTGAGAACGATTTAAAGCTACCATTTTTATTGACATGGTTATCGGTATGCTCTAAACTGTGCACATTGTAAACTAAGTGTTCACTACCATGGAGTCTTTATATCCTGAGCAGAAATTATTTAGATTATTGTGCACACTGGAGGAGAACACTTGGCGCAATCAAGAGTATGGTAGTAAATAAACTGATACTGATGAACGCAAAAACTAAAATAAAGTCCAGGCGGTTACTCACTCACGAAGTACTTTCTTCAGCTACTTTGAATTGGACGACATTTTCTCCGGAAGTCAAAAATTGTGTGTTGCCTACACAATATTGTAACTATATCTATAGATTCTAAAAAAGATAGTTCCAAATGGATAAGTTGCTATCTGGATATTTTAGTCCACAAACATGTAAACCAAATGGGTCGGCCCTGATGGAAATGACATTAACATATCTTTGGGACTTACTCAGAACTGTTAAATGACTTCTGAAGTTGTGTTCGTCATCGAGGAAGGCTACCTGTCTACTACGATGAATACCTGTGACTTCAAATTATGCCCTATAACATATCGGACACCATCACGAGCAATCCTGTCACATATAACTGCCTCTAACGTCACAGTTGAAGTGCCGTTGCACTTAGGAATATCAAAGACTTCTGTCAGCAGGTCTTTTAGTTCATATATAAACAGCGGAGTGAAATCAGATTGCTTGATTTTACCACTATAAATACCATTCGCCAATACATGACTGACATATGGAGCTATCAAATCATTTAAGATAGGCCACAGCTGTTTGATCAAACTCAAGACACCAACAAGTCATCATAATTCTTTAGCAGTTTTGCTACAAACTTGCTAAAGTTTTTCTTCTGCTATCAGAACTCAAAAATACTCAGTTTACTTAATTTCAGTCCAATATAGTAGTAGACCCACGTGATCAGCTATTTTTGTTCCACTCTGTGACAGCAGTTGAGCAAACTGTTCACAGATGTCGAAATTTTAAGAATAGCCTTTAATAAAACGTTCAGAACTTTCGTTACTGAGACTATTTGGCAAATGTGCGATTTTATGATGGAAGGGTTGACGAACAGGAAGCGATAGTTGGTCCTCGAGTTGTCATCGAAGGTCTTTTACGTGCCAGGAGTAACGTGCCATAATTGGTGATAAAGTCGGCATGCCATACGGGAGTGGTTTGTATCTAGAATCTGAGAATTGCGTTTGTAGAGGTCCGGACCAGAAAACGATGCTGACTTGGGAAGGAACCCCATTAAGCCAAGAAACTTATTTCTGGTCTATAAGTCGAAACAAAAACATCTACTGAGTGTATAGAAAAGAACGTGGGTGGTCAGACCAGCTTTCGCCAAGGCTGACTAAAGTTGACAGTACCAGATGGGCGATGGTCGGAGGCGTGAACTCAGGATAAAAGAATCAAAGAAAATGATGTAGCAGTCATATAGCATGAGGTAGAGAGACGGTCAATGCTGACAATCTCGAGGCTTCCGTTTCGATCAACCTTGAATGTCTTTCCGTGACGGAAAGTCACGTGAAAAGGTCCTTCCTAATGCTGTTGCAAAGGTTCGCGTACCGTATCTACACGTATGAGCACATGTGAATCGGTAGATAAATCCCAAGGGTAAGTGGCCTGTCGATGCTGTATTCCAGTTTACACCGGAGGCAGAATTCGCATGTACTTAGAGAATCGTTGGCTGTAGTCTGATCTACCAAAGTTGTGACTGCTCCGTAGTGTAAAATTCCCCTGGGCAGATTCAGTGTCGTGCCGTATACCAGCTGGGCGGTGGAACATTGTATATCTGCCTTCACTCTGGTTCCGACACTTAAGAGGACTAGCGGTAAGGTCTCTTACCGATTGTTGTTTTCGTGTGCTCGAAGATTACTTTTTATTTGGCGTTGAAACCGTTCAACTAGACCATCAGATGATGGGTGATAGGTGGTAGTACGAATTGTAGTCCTCCGTCAGTCGTGAGAGTGAAGGGACAAATTTACAGCGCTATCCACCGTTGTACGAAGCGGCGAGCAACTGTCTCCGCCGTAATAGACATGATGGCAATAGCTTCGGGTCAACTTGTGATCATACCCATGCGATGGTGGCAATGGTCCCACAATGTCTGTGTGAACGTTGTCATAGTAGCATTAGGCGTAGAAAACAAGAAAATAGAGGCAATTACGTGCCCACATTCTTCTGATCATTGAAACTATGGGCACAACTTGATGTACATAAGGAAATCTTTATTCATGGACGGCTAGGAATATCCTTCAGCTATAAGGGGTAATAAGGCTGGGATAAATGGATGAGACAGTCCATGAAGGGTACCAAAGACGAGACAACGATAAGCGGAGGGTACAATGGGTTGGGGAAGACCAGTAAATGTATCACACATGATAGTGTGTTAACTAGTAACTGAGGGTAATTTCCGAGATGTAGAGTGTAGTGCTTCCGTACAAGAGCAATCGCTTGCTTGGACGGCAGTCATAGTGAGGAGATCAAGCATCCGTGGAGTAACTGCATTTATTCGGTTAACTGACAGAGCGTTGGCAAGATAGTTCGACTCGCCTTTAGTATGACGTATGTCTGTCCTGAACTGGGACGTATAGTCTAAATTCATGCACTCTCGTAGTGAGCAGCGATCAGACCGATTGCGCTATATCTTGTCTTCTTGGAAGTAAGGTGTCAGTAGAAAAATTCAAGTGGTTACCAACTTTTAGAGATGTTCTGTCGCAGTACAGCTCCTACAACGAAATCCCATACATCAACCGCTATACTAAGCGTGGCTGATGGGTCAGGTCAAGCGAGTAGTATGGCTTGAGCCAAAACTGTTTTGACCTCTGAAAATGCAGTACGGGAAATCGTTCTGCCACATGTAGGATGAAACTTCAGCAGAAATTAACCGAACCGAGGAATGCCTTCAGTTCCTTGAGTGTAGACGGTACAGTGTACGCCGTCACTGCACGTACTTTTTCCTCGCACGGTAAAATGCCCTCTTACTTAAATGGTGGCATAAGAATTTTATTTCCGGTTTGTCAAGTTCACACTTGTCTGGGCTGATTATCATTCGATTATCTGAAAAGCGCTAAGATAGCAGTGTTAGGTGCTGATAATGTTCACCTATGTTTGCTGATGCTATTAGCAGGTCATCAATAAAGACGTGAAAAATTTAAGTCTTGTACTATTCTATCGATAAACCTTTGGAAATTTTGGACAGTATTCCGTGATCCAAATGGCACTCGTATTAACTCACACAAACCAAAAGGAATCGTGAAAGCGGTTTTCTCGATATCTTCAAGAGCAACTGGGATCTGATTATTTGCTCGTACCAGGTTGGTCTTAGAAAAGATAGTCGTGCCCTTGAGTGATGCCGTCATGTCGTGTATGTGGGGGATAGGGTAACTGTTATCGTTTTGGAAAAAAGGTTCACTATCGTTTGTTAGTTAGATAAAATTTCCAATGAACTTCGATAACAATAGTGAAATAATTTTACTGTACTTTAGATGATTGTTTTTTTTTACTAATATACACATTCATTTTAAGTTGAAATGATTTTTTAGACAACACACTTGATCTATAAAGAAAGGTAATTTATTTGTTTTGATCAAACCATAAGGGAATTTTAACCACAATATATATTATCTTTCGAAAATTCGTTTAAAATATTGTTCAGTATAAGTGTATTTCTGCTGGTGTTAGTGTTTTATTGTGTTATTTAATAAATTAAATGGAAGAAGATTTTAGAAAATAAGTACTTGTTTTAGTATTGAAAAAAGCATAGTTAAAGCATGTCATATTTTTAAGTGAAAAATATTATAAGGTAACTTGATTAGAATTTATAAGAGATTCTAGGAAAACAAAGCCAAGGGGAAGTAGGAAATAACATTGTTCAATAATAATAATAATAATAATAATAATAATAATAATAATATCTGTGATTGCCATGATAGTACTGATGAAGACGATAAGCACAATTATAAAGGAATAAAACAAGTAGTTTATTATTGATACCATAAACTCATGCTAATCAAAGATAAATGTGTTAAGAATAAATGAATTACAACAAAATAAATTAAAGGATCATGATCTTCCATTCCAATCGGAAATGTTATCCTACGAAACAACAACCTTACAGAGAAGAAAGTAGACCCTAGTGAGAATTAATTTTTGGTAAGACAAAAAAAGATTTTGGTTTTATTAAATGTTCTTTTTGAATTTATTATAGTTGTAGACGAAAACTTCCACGAAAAAAGCCATCTCACTCTTTTTTTTTTAAAAAAAAATTAAAATGAAAACAAAAGAAAACAAAACATCAGAAATGTCACCTTCTTAGCCGACGATTGAAATAGCACTAAACGTGGATAAGAAAAATGAGTAAAAGAAGTAAGCTTGGAAAATAAACCACTAAATTGTAAAACTATTCCCATTCAACTGAACTTTGTTAGTTGTATATTTTCCAATGTAATCTAAACTACTAGAAGTGTAAAAATGCTTTGTATGTCATATTTGATAACATGTAAGTACTTCTAAAGCGTTAATGTTATTGACTCCGAACAGATGTTCATATCTAAAACTCTGACACACCTGACGGTTCACTGTTATAGTCTGGACGTCTTCCACTAGACATTTTCTTCGTTGTAGTTATAAACGTACCACTACGTACAGTTCTTTGATTATCTAACCAATTTTGAGCTGGTATAGCTTTCCATACTTGTTTATTTTCAACTGTAGTGTTAGTTGTTGGATTGTTTGTTGAATAGATTGTCACTGGTCGGACAGACTGCTCTCTTCTATAACGTAAAGGCTGAAAAAGTATATAATCAGATATGATAACTACAAATTAATGTAACCACTGCATTCGTATCTAATCGATAAAGTATTCTTTTAAGAGAATTTTGTCTACCGTTTTAAATCTTCGTAGATTCAATAACGGTTCATTTATATGACTGACATGATATAATATTAAATATATCATATAATAATTATAAGGTAGAAAACCGTACCATATTTCAACTAAGAAATTATTACTAAAGTGTTTTGTATCCTCTTTATTCTCGATTTAAGTACAAGCTATGGTTTATTTTCATTTATCTATAAATAATTTAGTTATGGAAGCTTGGTAATATGCCATGCACGATAATTTTAGGGGAACTATCTAAGCTTTAAGGGGATCAAATAGCATATAACTGGCTTGAGATAAAACACAATATTACCAATGATAGTTACATGAAAGATAGCCCCATAAAAGCAACTATTTTATTAAAGTATAAGGAAACTGTCCTTTTGTTTGTTATCGATTTCAGATTGCTTGAACAATTAAAGATGACTGCTTTAGATTAATTGTGCAGGTACTTAAGGTTTCAAGTTCATTAGAGAGTATTCTGAAATAGAATCATTTCTATTTTCCACCTTAACTCAATGTATATGCTTTGGTACGTGCACATAAACTGTCATAATAAGTTAGACGTAACTAAAACGGAGAACTTGGAGCGCCTTGACTTTTAAAGAGCACTTACTTTTATACAGTGTAATGTTTGGTAGAAGGTTTGTTGTCTATTTGGTTAATTTAGCGATTTCATTGAATTTGAAGATAAAGTACAAAGCGAGTATTTTTCTCACCTGCATAGCGCTCAACATGTTTAGTTTATGCTTTCATGTGCATATAGGTGTACTGTTCAAATACCCATTTTTCAATAACTGAGAGTTCTTGTCCAAGCCACTCGTTTAAATAAAGTTTACAAGCACAGTTCAGAAACTGTTTTGCTGATATGTTATTAAAAGTAGAATCTTCACTGCTGCTAACATTGCTTCGAATCATATACATTTATTCAGGTTGTAAAGTAGGATTATGTTTTTCTTCATCTGATCAAATGAACACATAAAATCTCTTACTTATTGAATTTCTCTCTAATAAGTGAAAAATATGTGCCACACAAATTCATCATTCCTAAATTATGTCGTACATGTGTACCTCATAAATAAATAAGTAAAAAACTAATTGCATATGTCATCAACTAAGTTAATAGGTAAGTAAAGACACATTTGAATCACTTCTAGTGTATAAAATATTAGTAGTTTAATAAAATATATAATAGCTTATTCCAAAATATTTCTGATTCTAGAACAACTCAAACACCAAAGTACACAGATATGAACTTAAATACATGTCCATGCACTAACTTAAAGACCGGAAATTTTGTCACACTGTTAATTAGTGTTAAACACTTTAGCATAGGTACCGAGTGGAATTGATGGAAGAAACGCCAGTGTAAACTAATGTCACTTTGAATACACACATAAAGTTGATGATTTTATTGAACCACCTGACTTTGTGCTTCAGAGTGTACTGGAAAGTTCAGCTTTCGTTATAACGTGTATGCATTTAAGCAGCAACAGTACCAGTAAATAACAGAGAATATCTTCGATATAGGTAAGAATACTGTAATATGTTACCAATTGGTTTATTGATGTTTTTATTTTAACCCTTCTAAGTTGTATTAATAGTATTATTCGATTGTCAGAATTCAGCCAAGTCTTACGCAACAAAATGTTAGAAGTACTAATTGAGGTGTCCAAAATTATCTTCTTTACTTATGCAGCAGATTGTGTGAGCTTCATAATGCAGTAAAATGAAGCTCTATATAATTTAACCTGACTTGAAACTGAGCAATTATCATAACTCGAGAGACTTATCAACATGACAATGAAGACTTTCTTAAAAGTTCATAAACAAAACTGAAGTTGCACTGATTTAAATGCAAACCGGCATAAATTCATTTATGATATAAAGTTAGTCATTTATATACGACGCACAATGTATATGTCTGTCTTATGTAGCTAGTTGATCGATTTCACTTGTCTGGTTACATCAGTTTTGTACTACAGATTAGCATAAAATTATGAGATAAGGAGTAGTTTATTGTGGGCATATGTTTATTTTAATCTGTTAGATACGATATAACGAAAAATTGTGATATTATGTTATATGACTGCCAGCTATAACAAAACCAACAATAGATGAGGCATTTCGCATTCTGATAAATGACTTCAATGCCCTAAATATAATGAACATCATGGATACTTGGGTGAAGACTGTTTTGAAGGTTGTAGCAAACTCTGTCACGGTTAAAAAACACCCTAACATAGATCTGCTACAGTTATGTTTTAATACCAACTAATATAAAGTTTCAAATTTCCTATTGAGCATACCGATGTTGCCGCATAAATCCAGTAGTTTTGTTGCTGCATGAAACACAGGTGAAGAAATTACAAACAAATAACCCTCTGCCATCATTTACATCGTAAACCTATTGTTGTTTTATACTTGTTTGCCATTATTATTTCGTAACGTGTAGATCTTTCACTTTCATACTCATTGACTGGTTACCATAACTAAATCCATGTTCTAGAACTTATTCATAATCATACATGTCAATCAGTTCTGATCTGAGTGAGCTGAATTATCTAATCATAGACTTAACTAAAACATAATATTCAAACTAAGTATGATTTATGACTTATTGAATAAAACAATTTTATTCTAAAGATTTACAAAACAAACAGAAAAGATAATTAAAAATCCACCTGAATATCAGCATTATTTGATCTATCCATATAAGCTGGATATGCTGGATAAATCGGTGAACTAGGATTCCAATTAGGAGAATTTTCCGCTTTTCTTTGTGGACTATATATTGTAGATGCATTATCGCTAAAAGTAGAAATATATTCACAATCATAAAAGTATAACTGAGTAATACTAATTAATTGATTTATATCCCTTTCATATGAAACGTATAAGTTGGATTGATTGGTTTCGTAGGCATACGGAGTTTAGTTGATGTTAAAATTAATTTTCTTCAAAGACTGGTGTTAACCATGGAATCCTCCAAAATTAAAGGCTATTAAATAGCTGTTTTATCCTTTGATCGAAAGCGCAAAGGTTTGGTCACCCATAAACTCAGCCAAGTGTAAGACCCAGGGCTGTTACGTTCTGTGGCAAGCACATTATTTTTGAGTTGAGATCGAGTGATACAATTTTCCAATTCGCCCTTCACTTAATCAACTGAAGCAAAAAGACTGCACTTCATGGCGTTTTACACAAATTTTTAATCATCATTTAGCTGTCTCATATACTTTTATTAAAAAGTAATTCAAATGGCTGTCACATGAGCAAAATTGACACCACTGAATGTTTCATTTTTAATGGATTGAATGTTCTAACACTGATCTATTTCCTAAATTTGAAAGCAAACTATCATTTAAATAATTTGTTATTATACAAGAACATGTATGTTTCGATTAACTGCAAACAAGCTTTTAACAAATGAATTGATAAAATCAAATTATATTTTGTATTCACTGTTTACTACTTACTATCAACCTAATGAGATGTCATTGCCATCCATAGAAAATGGATTATGTAAGGCTTATTTGATGACTGCGATCGATGATTTGAGAGTTTTTACGAGAAATTATGTTACATTTCAACAAATTGACAGTTTGTTTGATGAAAGAACAATTTTCCAACCAAAAGTTGCATGAATAAATCTTGAAGAATACAGCAGTATAATGAGGATGCTTAAGAATGATGCATTTATCTGTCATCAAAATAAGTGACTTTTTTGCAGAAGTGTCACTGAATTTGTTGAACATACAGCTTGCTGACATCAGGTAGTATGAAACATACGGACAGGGATACCTGTTGATTAACAATAATCACAAAAATCTCAATGTCCAGTCACATAAATTACTAGATTCCAAATTCATTCATATAATTTGTTTATCACTTTGGACTACATAAACATGATACTACCTACTATGGATAACTGTTCAGAGGTTAAGTATTTGCTGGCGAAACCGACGGTCCTAAATTAGACTATCAGTTTTAGGTAGTAAATCCACCTTACTGAGTCTCATTCTAGGACACAACAATATCTAATGCCTTCTGGTTTTCATCGGTGGTTTAATTAATATCAGTCGGTGATTTAGTCCATGAAAATCCCCACAAAATCATATTCTAAAATCTGACATTGATTACAAGTGAGTGGTAATTTAAATCTGAACGACTATCTTTGGACTATTCACTAATTACAAAGACTTCTAAATATCTGTAAGCCATGACAAAAAAGAATCACTTTTTTCAATTTTTATGATGATATCATATCATAAATGACGATAAATGCGTAAATTCTTTTAGTATAATCTATTTTCAATCTAAGGAATTGATTGTTTCCGATTTGTTTAATGAAAAATCGATTGTATATGTTGGTTGATGACTTTTATGATAATGGGATATTTTTGTAATGACATAAAACCCACCAGATCAAACCCTGTTCAATTTAGAAAACCAACAATTATCTTTTTACGAATCAATTGACGCTTAGTAGGAGAGTAGAAGAGACATTTGTAAGTTTTAGTGATGAGTTCTGTCTGATGAGATGGGACGGTGTCAGTAGTAGAAATTATCATGAGTTAGTTTAAATGGAATATATAAACTACCGCATTTCAACATAATGACATGAAGCTTTTTATTCTTGTCATAAAATCTGTAAGTTTTTTCACTCAAACTACCTACAAGTTTCAGTCTGCACTAATTTATCACTGTAGAGTGACCACTGTTATGTCTGTATAGTCTATAGTACTAATCCGATTGAACAAGCTGCAATTTGAACACTAGCTTGAATGACTTGACATCGAGTGCACAATGCTTTTGTTACGTGAGTGGAATTGGTCAACAGAGAACACTAGACCTGTGTTTTATGCTAGTAGGTATTCGTTAGCAAGGCATACTTCCAACCGCGAGGAAAGTGATGGTCTCTTGTGGTAACATTGGTCAACCAGTTTCAAAGTCCAAGACATAAACAATAGGAAATTCGGGCCATTATGTTTTATACTGATTGCCGACATTGATTGACTGATTGTCGAGCACTAAGGACTAGACAAATATTACACAGTGATCATTTAAATCACTTAGATTATCCAGAATATTGATAGAAACAATACAATATGATAAATGATCTTTAAAATATATTAACAAACCTGTTGTATACATTCACACGCAGAGGTTGTACAACTCTATTTGAATCACGTGATACTGAATTGTATGAATTGTATGATGGATAAACTGATGAAGGTGTAATTGTTCTAGCAGGTGATGCACTTGTGCTGTATTGTTTAACTGGGTAGATACGTGTTGAATTTCCATTGTGTACGCGTCCGGATGATATATTTCCAGTTGAATGTGTATCTTGCACATGTATAGTTGCAGAGTATTGAGGATAATTTGGTCTATAATTAGATTTTGGCTGAACAGTATTGAAAGTGTTTGAAGCAGCAGGTAAATTCTGCAAGTGATAAGTTTAAAAAAAATTATTTACGTAATGACATTTTCCATGTAAAAATCTTATATAAATTGGAACAAATCGTCATTCAGTTAATTTTATAATTACAGTCAAGCTGTTAAACAGACTTTGATATATATATGTATATATATATATATATATATATATATATATATACCCAGCTGTCGTGAACCATTTTATTTTAGTTCTTTGTGTAAAATAAACTGTTATATATGATGAACGATATAGTGAACATGAATAGAAATATTGTAGAATTAACTGACTAATGCATTTCATATTTTATCGATGAATCTGTCGTTTGGGGTTGTGGAGATCATTGAGTTACTTTTTGAAATAATGAATCGATCAATGTTAGACCACAAGACCACCACAAGAAACTTGGAAGCACATGACGGCCGTTTCGTCCTGGTATAGGAGTCATCGACAGTGCGCATCCAAAACTCCCACAACTACCAGGACTCGTACCAAGGACCTTCGGTCTTGCGCGCGAACGCTTCCAGGTTTCTTATGGTGGTCTAACATTGATCGATTCATTATTTCAAAAAGTAACTCAACAATCCCCTCAACTCCATGATGCGAATTGCTTGTAATCACTAGTGACTAGTTCCGTGAGGAAACTCCTCCGAGTTTGAGTGAGAGGTCGTGGCCAGTGGAGTTCAACCCTGTTCGCATGTGGAGCCATGCTCACCGAAGACAGTTGACGAGATTGCGAAAGACCGTAAACTGATCGAAGTTAGACATTAACACCATCAGATACCGGTCCAGAGGTTTAACGTTCGCACACGAAACCGAAGGTCCTGGCTTCAAATCCTGCGAGTTATAGGAGTCGTGATTTCGAAAAGAACCTGCCTTAGTTCATTCTGAATCAAATTATTTCGCAGTTCAAATACGAACAGTAGCGTGAATAAAAACATTTAGTTAAGAAATTTTCAACATTACCTATCTCATTTAAGTGATAAAACAATGTAATAAGTGATCAATGAATGACTTTATCTAGGGGTCGGAACCAAAACTTGAATCAGAAATATTTCAAAGAATAAAATCATTTCTAACAAGGTTCGTTTGAAAACAATATTTACTACAGCATGACCTTAGTAAAGATATCACTGAACGCCAGGGAGCACTGGATAGCTGTCGGTACTTGTAAGTAAAAGAGAAGTAGGTGAGTAAAAGTGGAGAGTTTTAATTTTTTGTCAAAAATATTTTATTTATCTGAGTATCATGATCAACACCTAGTTTATTATCAAAAGCTAAATCCAAATTGAAATTGTATGTTATTTGGCGACTAGGATTGACAGAAAACTTTAACAATATTATTCTGTCCTCCGTATCTAATGGACGCACGGTATACAAATTGATTAACACAATGCACTCTAAAAAGAAAACATGTTAACAGTAAATGTATTATGTAAAGTCAGTGATTTATGTAAATTATTGTTTTATTGTAATGGACAAACTGTCACAAAAATTTATATAAATAATTACAATATGTGGGTACACAGATTGAAATATTTAACTTAGCTTACTGGCATAAAATTTTCTTATCTACCTAAACAAATGGTGCAAGCATAATGAAATTTCATCCTAAATGTCCATGTATCTAGGTCATATCACAACACAATAAGTCCAACAGTGTATGAATAAGATAAAAATGTATATATATACATATATATCTTCAGTTGTAAACTAGCTATATCGATAGATAACTATGCAACAAAAACAATGCACATTGGTAACAAGAATAAATAAAAAGACTGATAATAGGGCATACAGATATTGTTTTTATATTTAAGATAAATAAGTACACTGTACATTCCATTCTACTCTCTTGTGTGTACATTAGAAAGTTTTACTTTAAACAAAAAAAATTTTCTTCTATTTTTGTCAAGAATCAGTTTAAATACGAAATCAAAAAAATCATTGTTATACTATGCAGGAGGCTACATGGTAACATAGTGATATAACTATATGAAATACAATGATGAATTGCAATTTCCCTTTCAGAACTAATTGTGTCAATGAAAAAGAAAAAGAACTGATATTGATTTGAGAGTCAAGAAAAAAATGTTTAAGTAATTTTAGTCTTAATGTGTTTCAATTCATTTTGATTGTTAGAAATCCGTATATCTTGCTTTAGTACTATTCATCAACAGTGTAGTATTTAGCATCTTTAGAGTATTGAAGTTGTTTTTTTAATTTTTGTTGAGAAAACCATACCATTGAATGTATTGTGAACTCCAGTGACTATTGTACTGCAGTTTGATAAAAACTCATCTGAATTTATTCCTGTTTGCCGAAATACTGTATCTGTCTATTTTAAACTAGTGGAAATTCATGAGTTAATGTAATCATTATTATTTAGAATTGAAAACTTCAAGTAAATAATGGTGACTTTAAAATTGTCTTTTCTATAACTTGACATTGAAAATGAATATGAAGCATAAATACTAGATTTAAAACTAATATGTCGTTAGCGTTGAAATTACCAGATAACCATGTCTCGTTTGTTGATACCATAATTACAAAGCTCTTTGAACTTCTACCATTAATTCATTCTTTAATAATACCTACCATCTCTGAAACAATTTATCAATAACCTACTGACTCACTTGATTGTAACGAGGTGAAGGTGGCCCAGCAACATATTGAGTGAATTGTTGTTGAAATGATTTTTCTGCTGGCGTTGTGGACAAACTAAATGTTTTGGTCGATCTCGATTTCACTGGTTCATAATTATTGGTTGAACGATTTTCTCTAGCCCATGTTGGTGTTATCGGGACATCCCATCCAAAGTTATGATCGGTTCCACCATATTCCGACTGAGTTTCATATCGATTATGATAGTTGTTAATATCGTTCTTTTTTCTTGGCACTGAACATTAATAAAGATTAATATGATAAGTATTTCACCTTTTATTTTTGTCATTATACAAAAATAACTTGAAATGATAATAATCCAGAAATTTGAATGTTAACTGTTCAGGAACCCTTAATGTGAACAAAAGTTGTAGTTTTATAGTATATCCATGTATAGGTACAAGTACTCTGTGGTTGAACTCAAAATGTATGAAACAATGAACCCATATCTTCTTCTACTTACCATTTATCAATAAAGTACTTCAGCTGTCCTAATGGGACTGATGCTCCATGCAGATTTTAACTTACATTACTTGATCTATTCCGACAGGGATTTATTTTCTGAGGATGTGAAATATTCATACACTATTACACAGGTGCACTTAACCGATGTGAGACAATTAGCATGAAACAGAACTTTAAGGATATTTTTCAAATACCATCAACCAATGTGATGCAAAGTCAGCGCTTGTGTTCATGTTATTTGTTTTCTTCATGTTTTTTTTCATATATTCTGCCTACATCATCAGAACACTGTTACTGAACTACAGTTATCACAAGGGAATGTTCAAATCTGCTGGTATGCATTCGTAAAAAACCGAAGAACATGGTAAAGCTGACACATTAAAGTTAGTTTGATGTTCTCTACATTATCTATTTTCTGACTGCAGAAATACTTGTAAAATATTCAAGAAATAGATAGATTATGACATATTACCAGAGAATATTGAACATTCGTTTTAATTTAAACTCAAAGTGTCTAATAAACTGAGTGAACCAGCAATCAAATCGATTAATTATTCTGATATTAGATTTATTCGTTTTCATCTGTAATTCCACTTTCATTAGATAATTTCCTCATGCTTGTTTTTTCCCTTCAGTTTAACATTCTGATATGCAACATGTTTAGATTTAAATTAAATAAGTGAAAGATATCAGTCAATCAATCTGTATGACTCATCAAACTCATAGGTGTATTCATTTTCATGGTTAAATTGCCTTAAATTGATTTAGAATTGTTAAAGAATGCAATTAGCAAATGAATTGGCCAAACCTAATTCGATTTATTTGGTAAATTCTTTCAGATGTGGTTGGACTAAATTTTGGACTTTTAAAGATATCAATGGAACAAATTTAAACATTCTTCAAAATCAATAAAATCAATAACGGAAAAAGCCTAAATACATTCAGTAAACCATTTAAATGTTATTTTTGATCATGAATCAACGTATGGTATACTGTAAAACACCTAGGACTCTGTTTCATGGAGTTCAAATACTGAAAAAAAAATACTGCATCGACTGACTCGGTTAAATCAATAAAAAGGAAGATTGATTTCGGTGGAACTAATGAATAAACCGATTACCACAGGAAATTCAAGAAATTTACATCATCTTGATAAATTTGTAAATTTTTGTTCGTTTTATTTTTTCCAAATGCATTTCTCTTTCTGTCATTCACTAAAAGAAATTTTCTTTATGCATATAAATTTAAAGTTTATGAATCAGTTAATGCACATGACATTTATCATCTCAAGCTATTCATATTTTAAATATCAAGAATATTTATATTGATATATATATATATATATATATATATATATATATATATATATATTCATATCGTTGATTGTTTGAAATGAAAATATTCACATTAATTCACTTATTTCTGATTAATTTCTGACATAATGTTTTCAAAATTCCTGTTATCTTACTGCAATGTATTATTTCTGGTCTATTTTCGTAATTCTCTACATCCTAATACCTTTCTATTTGCAAGCACACATCAACGTGTATATTTGTGTGTGTGTGTGTGTGTCTATATTCGTGTCCCAGATGTGTATACAGATTCGCTTATCACCAAAGGTAAAATATCACAGTGAGTCATGTCATTTCTTCCAATCTATGTAACATATAACAGCATAATTTAGCAAATTTAAACAAAACTGTTTGATACCTATAAAAAAAACTTAGATAAATTCAATTTAATCTTTGTTGTTTTGTTTATAATAGTGCCAAACATACATACACTCAAATACATTACATCCTAACAAAATATAGACTGGCAAACGATTCGAAAAAATAACAGGATGATTAAATAACAACTGAATTTGTTATGGGCATTTTTTGATTTTAATAAATTGCTTTTGTGATCTATTTTAGACATTGTAATGTTATTTGGACGGAGAAATCAATGAATTTTTTTTATTTATCATTGTATTGATAAAACACGTTGCGCACCAATCAACTGTATGCTTAAGTTCCAACAGTTCATTTGATAGACATTTATTCCACGTTCGCTTTCGGTGTATTATATTTATTTTAGTTGATAAAAAGTAAATGCATTCAGTTAGAATTTGATTGTTCAAAACTTACAAATTACTACGAAGTGCATTGTTTGCCAAACAAACAAACAGATTATTTAACAATTATACAAATACAAAACTGTTCATTAACTAATAAATAAGATATAATATTAATAATTAGCGATGGGGGAATAACTTTTTAATAATAGTGACTGCAATCCTAGTGACTGACAAAACATTTTAATCAGTTCATTTTTTTTAATTCAAAAAAAGGCGTTAACAATTCAAAGACAATAATTATTTTCGGGCAGAGTTTTAGAGGTTTGTCTTTTTACACATTTGAAATCACCAATCAATCACTGTGAGACCACCATTAGAAACCTGGAAGCACTGGACGGCCGTTTCGTCCTGGTATGGGACTCATCATCAGTGCGCATCCACGACTCCTGCACCTCGCAGGATTCGAACCCGGGACCTTCGGTATTATACGAAAACTGAACTCACTTGTTAATGAATGCAGATATCCTCTTTGAATACTAGGCGGTTGACTTCCACCAAGAAATAGTTTTCTTCTTTCACGAACTGGTAGATTCATAAAACTATAATCAACTTCTTCTGATTCAACATCATCATTATCTCTAGCATTTACTGGTTTCTGTTGTGGTTGTTTCTAGAACATTATAGGCAAAACAAAACAAATGAATTGTAGACTTTCCTTTATTTTCGCTATTCAAAATATATTTCTTCTTTTCTTTGAGTGTGAAAAGTGTAGCGCATTCAAAACGTCAATCATGGAATTCCTATCGTAATCTAGACTCTGTATGAGTGCCCGATAATGGAAATTGTTTTCACCATGTAGAGTAAGTGAAATCTATGTGCATACTGAAGCATCGACTCACTTTTGATTCTGTTCTTTTGTCTTCCATGCCATTCTACAGACTCCGCCAACACATAAAGTATTTTCAAGCTAGTCGTCAGCCTACCTAATGCTGAATATTACAATTATTTGTGTCAAGAAAAAACGTTTCAACTGCAGCTAATTAAAATGATAAATGTGATTTCTTTTTTTGGATTCACGTTGTGTTGGGGATTTTAGATCCCCAAAACTTGCTTGTTAAATGCCTTATTTTGGATTTCATGTTTGCGAGCATAGACTGATCTGCTGACCTTGAGATCTCATTTCCCACCACGAAAATCCATGGCTGTGATTGGCTGCTGTGTATTTTAGTGTGCTATTTTGGTTACTGTCCCAAGGACGTTTCTGTGATGTATAAATAAACGAGAGTTGTGTGCTTTATAGTATTGTGATTTCTGGGTGTTTGTAGAACATATTTTCTACGCTTACAAAGTCTTCTATCTTCAGCTTGGGATTCAAGGTAGCCTATCTGGACGGTGGTAATTGTCTCGTTTGCGTTTATCGACTAAGGTGAACTCGTAATAGCTTCAAGCGTACCCAATGACGAACCCTACACGTTGATTATATCTGTATTGGCCTCAAGATTTAGAACTAAGGAAAGCTGTGATATGATGAATGTTTCTAGAATAAAAATTATACCATAGTATTTATCTTTTTTATTTTGATGATTATAGAATACAGTATACGCTTTTCATAATCTGATTAGAAGACAAAACTATTATCCATTACAATATTTTATCAGTACATTTACTATCTTCATAAAACTTTAAAAATAACTGTAACTAAGTGAAATCCTTTTACATAATGGAATGATAAAATGAAATATTACTTCAAAGAAGAAAAAATACATACAAAAATCTAAAAGCCATCATACATTATCTAAATCTAACTACATTTCTCTTGCAGAAAACTAGTTTACAAGCTTCATTTGATCGGCAATGCAGCACAGATCATCATACATGATTGCACAAACCGTAATGTAAATTGAGAAAAATTATGAACAGTTGCTAAATATACCAATGTATCGTAGATCACTAAAAAGAAGTATCTATGAACATCTTGAAATTTGCATGCCACTTTGATTCACTGAGTATGCATAAAACTATGCGTTCAAAAAACTTGTTTTCTAATTTACCGTGTTTCTTCATTTTAAATAACCAACTGAGGTAAAGAAATACTTATTTCGACAGTTTCGTTATGAAATAAAAGGTTTAATAAAACAAACACGGGTACATAGTTAAAATTTGAATAGGTATAAGTTTTAGTTCAGAATTGTCAGTCTCAAGACCGTCTTTTGTTGAAATAAAATTCTAACATGGAAAACAGTATGATTCATTCCAAACAAAATTAAGTTAACTTAAATGTTAGTTCAAAAAACTTACCGAATTAAGTCTAGAATAGGGCCCAGAATGACCATAGACTGTTGTACTGGCAGCTCTTGAAAGATTTCTAGAAGCTGGTCTTGTTCCCATATACTGATTGCTAAACATTGGTAGGCTGTAAACAAATTGATATTAAAAAAGGTTAGCGTTAAACATAACAGTATACTGAATTGGTTTAAAGATAGATTTTCAAAGGTCATTTTCACTTGTTTAAAAGTGAGTGCCACCAATTTTTAAGGATTTTTTAAAACGTTAATAATCAAATTTTTTCCTGTTTAAACATTAGTTCATCTTTTGATATTAGATAAGATCATTTATAACCTTTTAGTTATTGTTGTAGTCCGACCTTTTATTCATTATAATCAACAAATCTCTTCATTTTAAATTCTTTTCGTGAATACTTTTATGATTCATACAATGTGTTGAGGTTATCAAACCATGTTGACATGAAATAAAAGTGTGTCATATGTAGAATTTTGCATCTATTTAGTGAGGTTAATAATGAGAAACAGGATCTCCACTTTAGTTCGTTATCTTCATGAAAGTTGTGTTTTTTAGTTAAGGAAAAAACACTGTCACCATACGAAAGGTATCATAAGCGCAATACAATTACTAAACACTAGAATGATAGCAACTGCAGCAACAAGAGAGAGCTGTGTCAAATAAGGTGTAAACGACAAATCCCGTTACTGACAAATGAATGCGACTGGTTACTTGTGGAGAATTTGGCAAAAATAAAGGATGAACGAACTCACTTACGAATTAATTTATGTAATGCAACTGATAATCTCCTCTTTAGCAGGAGATTAAGGTTCGAAAAAATTGTTAGCTGTCTATCCTATCTTAAAAACTATCTTCTCATAGGACGTTGAATCAGAAAACATGTTCAATATAAACTGTGATTAAATCGGTAACACATTGAATCAATCCACAATCTATTCAGATCACTTATTGATTACCTGTATTTTTTAGTAAGATGTTTTATTCCAGCAATGAAAAATGTTTGTGAATGTGGAATTTATGCATTTCCTCTAACAATTAGAGCTTGTAAAGAGTTTCATATCATTTTCTCGCACGAACATATATTATTTTCATATAATAAGTAATTAATGGCGAATCATAGGAGACCAATAATCACATGAAAGGTAAGACTGTCAACTTTATGCTCTTTGAATATAGCATGTCAGTTTAAACTTACCGCTAAACACCTATGCATAATTTTTTGAAATATATAGCTTTTATTTAGAATAATATTTGACGATAGTAAGCAGAAAATGAATGCAAGAAACAGGTACAAAATTTTCAAATGTATTACACTCATAAATTTCAGAAATCTCGAAATTAAAAATGAACACAATTTTGAATTTGTTCAAGATAACTAACAAAAGCCTATAGTTTAATCGGTACATTATCTCCTCAATGGACTGTGACATAAATTACTCTGAATAGGAACGATCAAAATAATGTGCATAGCATTTAGTTTAAAAAAAAACATGAATGCAATTAATATTAAGTAACATTTTTAAACTGGAAATGTATTGTATTCAACAGGATCTTAGTGGAACCATAAATTAGTTAAATCCAAGGAGAACTTAATTTATTACAAATCATATTTAGTTCTTACTTAACTAAACTAGAAAAGTGCTAACTCATTTATTATCAGCTGGTTATAAATCTAAATAATTTCTTTAATGTCCATTATGGGGATCAACTAAGTTATACTAATATGTATTCACTTATAGTTCATTGAATAAAATAGAAGTTCGGAGTTATTTAGGTTATTTGAAAACCAGAAGACTATTTCAACAAAAAAATCGACTTTTACGAAGATAATTCATTTTGAAAATCCATTTATCTTAGAGAATTAAAGAAAATAAAGAGAAGGCAGTTTACTTATGCTTTTTTGAACTGTAGTTATTTTTTGTGTTGACTTTCTTGTGCAGATTAACCAGCTCACTTTGTTGGTTGTAGCAGTCGGTTTCAGCCTTTAAGGTCTATGAGGATTAACGAAGTCTAGATTAACGGCTGACTTACGCTAAAGCCAGTGAATCTTTTTCACATAAACCAAATATTATTTTGAATTAGACAGGAAAGTGGTGCGAATGTCAAATTTGAATGGGTTAAGATAGTAAGAACTTCATTTTTAGGCCTGGTCATCTATATCTATACTTTAGTAGCAGGAAATATTTTCAATATTTTGAAGTTGTTCTTTCAGATTAAAGCTATAATCCTCCATAGTCCATGTTGACCTACTAACTACGAAATTTTCGGACAACTTGAACAACTTGAACCATCATCATTAATTGCTTTTTCCTAGGTTATTACAATTTTTATCTACGTGTGTATGAAATTTGAATGAAAGCGGAAAATTCTGGGTAAAATAGTGGACTTTCAAATGAGAAATCAGAAGACTTTTGGGAGTACTTAGAATTTCAATAATTACTCATATTGTGCTAAGCTTCTTGAAGTCTGTAAACCATAAAAAATCATTGAAAAATCATTTTTTTTATGAGTTCTCCTGTTAAATTAAAAATTAGATTTATTTCTTAATCAGATTTGTTGTTTTCTAACACCCTTTAAAAGTTTTGAATAAAGAACTTATTATAATAAATCTTTACAAACAAATCTCAATATGACATTTACTCTGTACTTACCGTCGAATTCCAAGTCGTAGATAATTATTTTTCAATTCAGCAAGTGAATGGGATTCTTGTTCTGTTAGTTCGGTGCCTAAATGACCTTCTATTTCTAGGACTTCGTCTCCAATCTCAAGCCAACCGTGAGCTGGAGACCAAGGATATACCTAGAAAATAAAATAATCAGTTGATGTTCAAGTGATAACAAATAGTTTTTATCATGGAAATTTCTCCATCTAGTTACAGGTATGCAATGAAATACAGTTAATTATATTTTACGTATACTTTATAAAGTCAATTTTATCCATAGTTTTGTTGGAGAGAATAAACCAGATTCCGGGTGAGGAAGAAATCAGGAAGAAGCGCTAGAGGTGGATGAAACACTCGTTGAGGAAAGAACCCAGTTACATCACAAGACAAGCATCTATTTCGAATCTTCAGAGGAATACTAAAGTACACATTAAGCTGAGTATTGGAACAGCAACTGTATAGAACTGGAAAATACTGCCCACGGCAGAGTAGATTAGAGAATGCTAGTTGGTTGCCTATACTACGCTGGGGATAATAGGCATAATTAAATTTTGTTGATCAGTTGTACAATTGTATAATAAATAATTGTGAACAAAATAACCACATCTGATTTTTTTTTCCATACATTATTATGTTCACTGTGAACAATAATATTACCCTGAACTGTGTCCTAAGCATTGATGAATGACTTAAGTATTCATTAATATTTTCTACATGATTCTAGTTCCCAGAAATGCGCACCTTATATAGACATATTTCCAGCTAATCAGTTTTAAATGCTAGTTGATAATCAAATGGAATGTCCTTATAACCAGAGCAGAGTGGATCACCCATTCATAAGAGTTTGAATTCATTTAATCTAATTACCAACGCATGTATGTGACAGTCAGTCAAAGACCTTTGGGTTTCCTGCAGAGTCTGACACCATTGGGTCAATTAGTTAGAGTCTAATAGTTTAGAACTTTCGACCTTGATTGATCTGAATATTATGATATTCACCATTTAAAGTGCAAGGTAGTAAACAGTTAGGACCAGAAAGTTTCAAAATAAGATGAATCAATATTTACTTGTTTTCAAATAATTTTTTTAAATGTGATGTTAATGTGTACGGGAAATTACCTTTTAAATATACGACGTCATAGAAAAACTTTTTTCCCCATAATTATGATCCTATAATGTTAATCCGAATCATTTAGTAAACTATATATATTCTGACTATTTTTAATAATAGCTATGTATTATGTAAATCTTCAACTAGATCAATAATTTTTATGCAACGCAGCCTAATATAAATCACTTATGTACACGTACACGTACACAGGTAATTTCTTGCATAGATTAAAATTAATTTTTTTGCGACTTTAGGAGATGTATCTTCGCTTCAATTCTTAAGAGGTATTTCCATTTAAAACACTTTGTTTGTCGATATGTGTATGAATGTATGAAAGTATGCGTCTACTTTACCGAGACGTACTTATACATTAAAAGGTCAATTTACGTTAGGTGAATAAAAAAGATTGCTTTAATTTTTTTTTCAAAAAATGTGGGACGATGATCAGTAACATATAAATGATCTAGTATTAAATTGATTTTTCTGTGATATTTTGAAATGATTTGTTTAAATCTAAACTACTGGTGTGCGTCTAACACTTAAAATGTGACTAAAACAGCTTTAGAAGCAAAAGTGGATAGATATGATGCAATGGATTTCGCGTTTTTTCATTTAGAAAAAGAACGATTAAAAATATATTCGTTTACAGTTATGGAAGTTGTAGACCAATTGTAATTTAGATAATAAAAATAACTTTTTTACACTGTAGGCCAACTTTTGATTGTTAAGTATTCACCGTACCTATTTAACGTAAATACTGATATATTGACTTTGCCAATATAATCTCGTCATCTCTATCTGATAATTACAACTTAGTAAGCAGTATGAATCCAATTTCATTTGTAATGGCTTTGATTATTCCGTTGTAGATACTTTGACTAAATTTGGATCAGCTTTAGTTGGGATATATGCATTCATTATTACAAAATATTTACATACAATAGGTATATGGGATGCAGTTACATCAAGTTGATAAGTTCCACAAGGGACAAAATACTCATCCTGCTTTCCACAGTTAACCGGACTCCGCCTTTTCTATGTAGGTTCTAATTCAACGTTGTTGTTTCCAGTGAAAACGTAATACAATTTGTCACTTTTATTCATAGTAAAACTTCGTGAGAAACAGTAAAAGTCCTTACTGTTGTCAGTTTTGTGATAAATGTTTCAAGCTTATACCTAAATGTGATAGACGAAATTAATGTACGTATGACTTTAAGTATAATAGCAATCAGTGTAGCAGAAACAGAATCATCAGTTAAATGAAGGATATGTTGTTTAACAATGATAAGCTGAAGTTTCGCTTTGGTTGGATCCTGGATAGATTTTTTCCACAGAAAGCAGTGCATATATTAGAATTCTGTTTAAGGTATTTAACATTTAGCTTGAGACAAACCCGATAAACTTTTACTTTTTCACGACTAATTATACTTGAACTGGAGATTGGTTGATTATAGTTCGCGTGAAAAAGAACTAAGTTCCTTTATAATGTCAAGCACATAAAGAAAATTAAAATATCTGATACATTAACTTCTTGGTGTGCAACAGTATTGACAAGCGAGATGATCCAAGCGGCATATTTTGTTTTCCAAAACCAAGGCTGAGACAACAATAGAAACCCCTTTACCTACTGAAAGTTACTCATCGCTAAAAAATTTAGAATGTTTTCAAATAAAAACTTAATCTGAAATATTCACGTGTCGGAAGTTTGCCAGTAACTCATTAACAGTCTACTTACTTACCCTTAAAAGAGAATAACCCACCGATCGGCGAGCTGGATTTTTGCGGAACCCTACTCCCAACCCTCCTCCTTTAACCGGGTTTGGGGCCGGCAGTAACTTCAGAAGGGCTACAGAGGTCGAATGAAAATAGTGATGTATGACTGAAAAATCTGTATTCTAACGCATTGGCTACTAATTTAATCTGAATATCCTAAGTTATAGGTGAACAACGTTAATAAGTCTTGTTCCGGGAAAAATGAATTGCCTATTACTCTCTGGTTTTTACTAATTATTCATTTAGTATCAACATTTAGTGAAACCTTTAACAGATCTCTATAAAACTTTAGAATCGAACGAGACTGTTGATTTGAGAATGAGTACTCCTTACCATTCAGGGACTGTAGTTTAGTAGCAATTAAAATTGCGAAGAAAACTTATTGCTACAAATGGATGAAAATGAAAGTAACTGATTGGGCGATTGAAGTATCGTAATTTATTTATCTCAAAAATGATTTCGAAGAAGGATATCAGTGAATAAATGAATTCTATATGGAGCGAAAAAAATCTCAGTAAAATGATTGTTGGTTTGCATAATAAGTCAAAGAATTCAATAAGAATATTTTCCGATTATAAAAAATAGTTTTTTTGCACTATGGTAACCTTCAATTATTCAAGGTTATTATTTTGCTTCTCCACTAAATTTCTAGATGAACGGAATGAAAGAAAATAATGACCAAACTTATTTACTGACATACTCTTAACACCAATAGATTTATTGTATTTTAAGCAAATTTCGACGAAAACTGGGACAGATTTTAACTCCAACAGTAGTTAGCATCCCTTCAGTTTTATATAAATTATATACTATCTCATTGTAAGATAACGGAATGATTGAAAGCTGCATGTAAGGAAAAATATTCAGTTATTTTTCGATATCGATTTTGTCACTGAACTAATTATAAATTACACAGTTGAATTATTTGATAGATACTTTTGGTGATAGTAGTCATATATTCATTTATTGTCAATGTCAGACAAACAACTAAGTAAGAATATATAGCGAAATTTTTAGCAGATCGATCTGTATTTTAACGAAAAATTAATCTATAATCGACTCTTAAGTATCATACGTTACTGTTAAATAGTTTCATAATGCCATAGTACTAGTCATTCATTAAACAACTTATGAAGTTGTTCCAATCACATAATATGATTTACAACTGATCCCTTTGTTTGAATGGCCTAAAACACAAACCGCAACAAGTTCAGGTTGAATTAAGAATGTCACGGAAATCATCAAAAATTGTTAATTATATTCACTACAGAAAAAAATGATTGTTTCTATTGTACGCTAAATATTTCTCAAATCATATCTTCTATCCGTAATCTTTTCGATTATCGCTAAAATTACCACCACTACAAAAGGTTTGAACTGACGATTCCATCACTCTGTCTCGATGTTGTATGGCAACTTGAACTGATATACGTACGTACCAAGTTCAACATTGTAGCTGACTGATTATCTGGCTGACACTATATTATTGGTTAGGAGGGTTAGTTGACTTTTCCTTAATATAAAAAACGATAAGCGTTGGGCTAGTGTCTGATTATAATACTTTAGGATTTAAATGCTTTTTTCATAAGACTAAATTCTCATTTCTTGATTAACAAATATTTGAAATATCTAAAGAATATGAAAACTCAGTCTATCGAATAATAACTCGTTACTAAATTTCAGATTCTAACTTAAATAGGTATGTTTTAATGAATAACTTATTGATATAATCGAAATATCAAAAAATAACTTTTCAATTAAAGCGTTTAAAGTACGTTACGATTGAAGGACTGAAACGCACCGTAGGCATATTCACTTTTAAGTCATCAGGTATTTATCGTTTGTATCGATGTCAGTTTTAACACAGAACGATTCATGCGATTTATGAGTTATGTTATTAAATTATTTACAACTCATTCACCTTAGTTTATGATTAGGTTTTTCTGCAAAATCAGCTTAACTGATGTTTCAGGATTCATACCAGTCCATTATGTTGTGAACAGGATAGACCTAACTAATTCATGTAAAGAAAGTTGGTAATTAAATCTACAGTTTTCTATGTCTTATATTTAGCTAGTGATACAATCAATTTTTTAACAACAGTTAATTTATAACTGTGATACATTTTTGACGAGAAAGAATTTATCAATAGGACCTTTTCAGTTATTGGAAACTTAATTTTTTTTAAGATGTTCTATTTATTCTATGTGCACTTCATCAAATCTGTCAAATGATGTATATTCTTTAATTATT